GAGGAGCGTTTCCACAGCGTCATCCTCTTTGGATACCGCAGGCCCCATGCTTCCTCCCTCGTTCGACTCACCGGGCCAAGGCGAGATTCCAACACCGCCGCGCGCGCGGCTTTCTCGTAGCGCCGGGGACAGCACTACCTCACACGACCACTTCCCTCAGCTCCTACCGTTCACCTTACGTCCCTGCAGAATCCGGCGAAGTAGAAGTCCCTGTGTAACGGGCGCCAGATGTCGGCAGAGGGGGTCAGACAGAAATGCACATGAATCAATATGATTGTCAAAAATGTCCGCTTTATTAGAGGAAAGGCAACTTATATGCTACTTGTGACACAGAGACATGTGATTCTTTTCCAGGTTACATTGGATACATAAGGTAAACACACCGAGCTGTGCATTACCAATTGGACCACAGCAGGTATCCATAAAACTTGTTTTCCTGCCAGAATAACTCCTCCTTCACCTTGGCACAAGGCCTGCAGCCATATTAGTGGCATAGTATTTATTACTGTCTGCACCCAGCCATGCCAAGGCAGAGGTCGCAGAAATGCAATAGAAATTGTTCACACAATTTCTGTCCTCTGACACACCTGTGTCTGTTAGGATGCAAGCATAGCCTCTTCCAGTTATCTTCACTTCTGCAGGCCCTTTCCATTCCCCTGTTTGTGGATCCTTATATTGTGTTTTAACTACTACCTGTTGACTTACCAGACCTGACTGCAAAGTGTTATGAATAACAATGGGAGGGTCCATTCTAGTACCTGTCAGCCGCAAAAAATTCAGCACATATAACACTTTTGCAAGTTGGTCATGTGGACTGGCTAGCTCTTCTCCCCGTTTCTGCTTTTGCAAAAGTGACTTCAGAACGCCGTGAGTTCGTTCAATAATAGCTTGACCTGTAGGAGAATGAGCAATACCAGTGGCATGAGAGATACCCCAATTCATACAGAATCTTTGGAAACGTGAGGTATAACCAAGTCCATTGTCAGTTTTAAGTTCTGTGAGGATCCCTAGGGCTGCTATGCATGCATACATATGTCGAATGACATATCTGGTACCTTCTCCAGCCTGAGCAGAGGCCCACATGGCATGAGAAAAGGTATGAATGCATACATGCACATATTTTAACCTCCCAGATTCCGTAACATGAGTAACATCCATTTGCCAAAGCTGCAATGCTTGCAGCCCCTGAGGATTGACTCCTAAGCCAATGCCCAGCCCGTTCTTATGACAGGCTGAACAGGCCTGTAGAATTCCTCGTGCATCCGATGAAGTGAGCCCAAACTGCCTGACTAATACATCAGCAGACTGATGGAAAAAGTCATGAGACAAGACTGCTTGCTGAAACTTATTTACTGCAGGACCAGTCCATGCAGGTGCCACTAATTTATCTACTCTGTTGTTCCCAATTGCTAAACCACGGTCTAGCTTCTGATGGCTTCTTATGTGAGTGACGAAATAGGGCTGTGTTCACTGATCTAGCAAATGCAGCAACTGTGTCATAAGTGCTGCTAAGATTTTATTTTTCAGGGTTTTGATCATTGCTCGCTCGATTCGTTGCACTGTACCCACTACATAAAGTGAATCTGAAACCACATTAACAGGTTCTTCCTTCGAGTTTAAGGCCCACACCACACCCCTCAATTCAAGGGTTTGAATGTGTCTCCTGAAACACCCGGAAGTATTTTATGTTTCCATTCTGCTCCCTCCTGCCAAGTAATTGCTGCACGCCGAGATTTTCTACCAGCGTCTGTAAAAACAGTAATTCCAGCAACTGGGGCATCTGAACGCAACACAAGCTACTCAATTATCTGATGTTGCAGCAAAGGCAACAATTTGTCAGATAATGATTGGTGACCAGACCTTCAAAGTCTGCCATGGCTATCTGGAATGGTTCTGATTTCTCAAGCAACCACTCCAAATAGTTCTGGGCGACTGGTACAAATACTACGGATGGATCTCTGCCAATTAAATCACAAACTCTCCATCACCCTTTTATGACAAGTTGCGCAAACAATTCAGGTCGTGTTATGATTGTCTTTTTGGGTTGATATGGTAAAAATACCCATTCCAAAATTCTCATACTGGTTGCAATTTGACAGATGATCCCCAACGGATGCTTTCTGCTCTCTCCAGAATTGACAAGTAGGTACTGCACTGGCTGGTCTTCTGTTATTCTACAGGCATATCCTGCAGCTATTTTTCCTGAGATATTAACTATAGCTGCTTTTTGGTCTTCTGACAATTCTCTTGGAAGTCCTGCCTGAGCAACTGATCCTAGTAAAGGCATCAGAGGAGCTAGATCATCATTGGTTATTCCACACACAGATCTGACCCACTGTATGTCACCCATCAGCTTCTGCACATCAGTCAAAGTTTTTATGGCAGTGTTAATGACTAATTTCTGTGGCCTCACTATACCATTCATGATGGTCCAACCCAGGTATTGCCATGGCTCCTGCTTCTGAATCTTTTCAGGGGCAATTTTGAGACCTCGACGACCCAACTCGTGTTCTAACTGCTGTAACAGCGCAGGCACATCCAATTTTTTTCCTACTATCAGAATATCATCTATGTAATGATATACTAATAAGTCAGGATGTTGGGTTCGAAATGACTGCAAGGCCCATGCAACATAAATTTGACACATAGTGGGTGAATTTTTCATCCCCTGGGGAAGAGTTATCCAATGAAAATGCTGTGCTGGTTCTGCTTTGTTAATTGAAGGCACTGTGAAAGCAAACCTGACAGCATCGTCTGGATGCAAAAGGATTGTGAAAAAACAGTCCTTTAAATCTGTCACCAGTATGACCCAATCATGGGGGATCATCATAGGAGAAGTTAGACCAGGCTGTAAGAGTCCCATATCTTCCATGACCGCGTTGACAGCTCGCAGTTCATGTAATAATCTCCATTTTCCTGATTTCTTTGGGATGGCAAATATGGGAGTGTTCCATGGACTCTTAGATGGAACAATATGTCTTGCCTCCAATTGCTCCTGAACTAATTGTTGAACTATTTGCAGTCTCTCCTTTTTCAGCAGCCACTGATCTATCCATACTGGTTTTTCTATTTTCCGCTGCAGTTTTAAGGTCAGCTGCCTATCAATGGCCGCTCCTGAAAAGGAGAAGTAATCAGGCATGCTCCCATTTGCCCCAACAGATCTTGACCTGTCAGGCCTACTGGCAAAGATAACACATAACGACGCGTTCCCACTATTGCTCTATCAGAAAACTGAAAAGTTATCACATCTTTGCTGATCCATGTCTGCTGTACACCACCTACTGCCTTAACTCCTGTAGGTGCCATTTCCACAGGCCATGCTTGAGGCCATTTATGTTTAGGAATAATTGAAATGCCAGCCCCAGTGTCAAGAAGCATAGTCATAGTGCTGGATTGTCCATTAGGATGCCATATAATTACATCTTCCTCGGGTTTTCCCTGCTTTATGTCTACTGCTAACATCACCTCAGGGGGGCCTGTTGAGCCAAAACCCACATCTCCTCGTGTCAGTGGTTCTGCATTGGGCACTTCTGCTTTAAAAGGCACTAGCTGAGCTATTTTACTGTTAGCAGGAATAAAAACTGGTGGTGTTAGGGTGTATACCATGATTTTGATGACACCTGTAGAATCTGCATCTATGATTCCTGGCACCACAAAAATTCCCTGACGAGACAAAGATGAACGTCCTACCAAATGAGCACTCAATCCTCTATCTAAAGGTCCTTGCAATGTAGAATCAATCGGGTGCACATCTTGAGTCTCAAGCATAGTATCTACTGCTGTTACCAGGTCCACGCCAGCGCTTCCTGTGGTGGCTGTTTGGCAGCGTTCCAAGCACCCTGATTTGCTGTCATCGCGCGAGAGTGCATATCGCGCTCCATTTGGGGTTTCCCTGCCGTTTACACTCATTTGTGTTATGGTTATTCATTTGACAGTTATTACATCACCTTGACCCTCCTGCTGTTATTGCAGGGCGAGCAGTCCCTGGCAAAGGAAATGCTCGACACTGGGTGCTGAGATGTCCCTTCTGACCACAGGCAAAACATCTCTTTGCGTTTCTTACCATTCCATCCTTTCCCAGAAATAAGAGGCTTTACTACTGCACCTACTGCAGTAGCCAGATAGGCTGCGTCCTCCTGTTTGATCATTCTTGTTGCAACCTCCAGGAGTTGAGCTGCGCCAGCACCCCTAGGCAGTGTGCTTAAAACCTGTTTGGTTTTATCATTGGTGTTATCACAGCCAATACATCCAGAAATTTTGCTCTCATATCATTATCCATATCTAGATCTGTATTTACTGACTGATATAAACGATCTATAAACAGATTATATGGCTCATTGGGCCCCTGTTTGACCATAGTACATGGGGGCCCTGACTTTGCATCCTTCACTGCAAGCAAGGACCTGTAGGCTAGGTCTTGGCTAGTTTGTAGTGCCTCATCTGGAAACTGTGCTTGTATGTCTGTTGCGTTGTACTAACCAGTACCCGTGACCTTGCTGCCTAGGCTGTGCTGCAGCTGCAACACAGCTAGCATCCCATTTATTAAAAAATTGTAGCTGCTGAGAAGGAGTCAGCAGCGTGGTTACTATCATACATGTATCGAATGGTATTAGCAAACTTGCAGTAAAAAGGTGTTGCATTATTGATTGTATATAACTGCTCTTTAAACCATACTGGAAAACAGCTGCTTTAGCCTCTTTGATGATTTCCCAATCTAAAGCTTCCCAGGATTTGCGCCCTGCACCGTCTACAATTGCAGGGAAAGCACTAACTCCTAAGAGCCCAAAATCCCCACCAGAAGCAGCATCCCGTATGATGTTCTTCCAATTCTGTGTTGGATTACCACTCACCCCCTCCTTCCCCCTCCTTCCACCCAGCAAGGCTGAAAACCCTATATCAGAAGTTCCCACCCTGGGCATCCTAGGAAAGGGGTTTGGAGGAGGCGATGTTCGGCACTGTAAATGAAGCTGGAACATTGCAGAAGTTTGGATGCTGCAGAGCGAACTGTCTCTCTGCCAATGTAGTCTTGAGCTCTTCAAAGCAACGCAACAAAGTGTTCATCTGATCTTTTGTTGCAAGCAGAACAAGTCTCTCACTTTCATCCTCTGAGCTCTCATCATCAGAACTCAGACTTGGGGACGGAAGCGGAGGGAATAGCTGTTCCGCATTGTCATGAGTCGGTTGTTCTTTCATCTTCTGCAGCAATATTGGTGCAAGGGTAGTGGTCCCTCCTCTGGTAACTCCTGCCTCTATTGAAATAGCAGTGGCTCTCGCCGGTGTAGCGGCGGCTTCTTTCGGAAAAGCTCTGCTATAGCTATAGCAGCGGTTCTCGTCAGCTCACTTCTGGGTTCAGGCGCGACGGTTCCTGATGACGTAAGTTCAGGCAAAATGGTGGTTCCGGGCAGTAGCGCTACAGCGCCCCCTGGTGATGCAGAGGCTCCTAGCATCGCTGTTCTGGGCAGCGAAGTGGGGAGCGGCGCCACTGACTGCGCAGGCTCAGTAAGAGATGGCAGTGTCAGCTGCGCAGGAGCAACAGAGGGCGTTGCCGATGGCGCAGCGCCAGCTTTGTTCTCCGCAGTCTCTGCTTTTTGTGCCAGCACTGGCGCGTTGCTGAACCAGGACAAGCCCACGACTTTTAAAACTTTTATCGTTTGCACCTTTGCAGGCGCAGGGGCCGAAACCTCCCCAAAACCAAACTGTTCTGCGCACGTTTGCACTACAGTCTCTCCGTCACCCTGGAAAACTGCCTTTGCAGCTGCCTCTGCAGCTGTAGATGCTCGGTGCAAAGCATTCCGTCTCTCTAGCGATTCAACTACCAGACACCAAAGCATAGGATATTTTCTTGCGTCTTTTGACCCCTTAGACATCTCTTCTCATAAGTGGTCCTTTATAGTATCCCATGTGGACACTTCAAAGGTAGCCTGAGCGGTAGGGATTAGCTTCTTCGCTCTTGCCCATTCTAGCAATCCTTTCAGGGCTTTTTCGTCATAATTTGGCTCTCTTAGAGAGATCATATATTGGAGGAGCTTTTCCACAGCCTCTTCCTCTTTGGATAGCGCGGGCCCCATGCTACCTCCCCCAGTCGACTCACCTGGCCAAGGCGAGATTCTAACTTCACCGCCCACGCGGCTTTTTTCGTAGCACCGGGGACAGCACTACCACTCACGACTGCTTCCCTCAACCCCTTCTGTTCGCCTTACGTCCCTGCAGAACTCAACGAAGTAGGGGTCCCTGTTCGGGCGCCAGATATCGGCAGAGAGGTATAGACCCAAGTCAAGTAGTGTCCGGTAGGGAGTGGCCAGGGCCCAACAGGTTGCTGTGAGCTGGCCATCTCTGGAGCTGCCAGAGCATTTTTCCTTCACCAGTCTTATCATGCTAACAGGATCCTGCAGTTGTTCAGGGGTGAATTTCCAGATCATTGGAGAAGAAAACTTCTCCAAATACTGGCTGATGTCCTGCCACTTCCCGTGCCACTCAGCATTATCCACTCCCAGGGCAGGCGTCCAAACAACCTCCCTAGAAGGCCCTGTTCTGACCCTAAACATGGTG